TGGGAAGCCCTTGGTCTTCTCAGCACCCGTTCCTGCGTCAGTGCCGGCCCGGCGCGAGGAGCTGGGCTGAGCACACTCTGCCCCCAGAGGCCTGTGCTCATCAGAAGCTACAGAGATGGAGAGGGACGGGCTTGGGCACAGGCAAAGCACCTGCCCCTCACGCAGGGGAACCTGCCCCTGTTCCACAGCAGGATGCAGCAGCGCAGTGCCGGGGCTGGGACATGGGAGCAGCGAGGGGATCCAGGAGACTTGCACCAGGGACAAGGTGTTCTCTAACCGATTACAAATGGGGTTTGCAGAAACCCTTCCACAGGGAAACTCCGCCATCAGAGACTCAGGATGTCCCAGTGCTTGGTGCTGCACAGCCTGCACTGCACACAGGAGAGGACTGAGCACTCCTGCTTCTTCCCGAGCCCTGAATGTACAAACCCTTCCCCACGTCACTGTCCCTCACCCTCGAGGGCTGTGGTGTGCACAGCACTGCTGCTTCACTCAAGTGTGGTGGGTGCCACAGAGGATGGCACAAGACCAGGGCCATGCAGCCAGCAGCGGGGGCCCACAGGGAACCAGAGTGGACCAGGAGAAGCTGCTCCAGCACCCACAGCGAGGGAAACTGTGTGTTTAACAGTATCTGGTGATTCTTCCTTCCACGGACTCGCTAATTCCATCTGAAGCTGGGTGAACTCGTGTCAACCCTGCCACACAGAGCTCCCACCAAGGGAGATCAAGAGCTTTTTGTCCTGTCCTTCATTCCTTGCCTTGGAACAAGTTCTTACCCCATGGGGCACTGCCCCCTTATCCCACAGCAGCCCAATTTTTTAAAAGCCTTTGGTGACAAGCCTTATAGAACTGCAGATAAAATTACACCAATCATATCAGCTGGTAGTGACCAGAACACCTCTCCCAGCAGGAGCACGTATTCTCCTGCACCAGGCAGGTCAGGGAATGCACCAGAATGTGTCCAGTTCTCACTTCAGTGAATCACCTTGAGTTATTTGGGATTTAAGATGCTGCAGCAAACAGAGCCACAATACCAACTACTTACTACAGCAGAGAGAGGAGAAAAAAAAAAAAAAAAAGACACAACTACTCTTGCAGGGAGCTGAACCAGAGCTTTCATCCAGAGAACAGCTCCCAGCACCCCTCCAGCCACACAGCACAATTCCCACAGCAGGATCCACAGCCAGCCCAAGCAGCTGAGATGACATGGATGGGAATGCTCCATGCCCAGTCAAGAAGATGCAACCCCTCGAGTTGCACTTCTCACTCGTAGATCCAGTGCTCGGCTGTGTCCTGCCAGCAGGTCAGCTCCTCTGGCCGGAACCACAGGGAGATCTCCTGCTGGGCGCTCTCAACCGAGTCGCTGCCATGGATCACGTTCCTGGTGGGAAAGCAAAAGGGATCAGTCAGCACTAAGCAGAGAAAGGTGGGAGAGGGAAGCTGCAGTTTGGAGCAATTTCACCTAGAGCGATTTAATTAAACTGATGGAGTCAGTTACATCCTACAAGATTCCTTCACATCCTACAACATTCCTTCCCACCGCAGGGCCCTTCTCCCTCCAGCTCAGGAGCTGGCTATGATTATGCTCAGTGTGGCTAGGAGGACACAACCACGGCCTATGATGAGTTCCTATGAATGGTTCCTATGATGAGGACCCATTTACTTGCTACAGGAGGAGCTGCCCACAGCTCTTGATTTGGGGTTTGCTTTGGGTTTATGTCAGGAATCCAAGTTTTGCCTCCAGATTTCCCCTATTCCAGGTTTCCCCCTGTTGAAGCAGGTTTGGTATCAGGCACCACAGAATGGAAACCTGAGCCAGGAGGATTTGATACAAGCTCAATCAGAAGCCAGCCTGCAGCCACCCCAGGTCACCACTTGTGGATCTTCACCCATGAAGAGCCCCAGCACATGTAGAACTCCAGCCTGGCTTTTGTTACAGACACAGATGCTGAGGAAAAGACAAGCAAATCCCACCTGCTTTCTAAAGGGAAGGCCTGAGGAGGCAGGAGAGGCAGAAACCCAAGCTCTGGAAAGCCAGCCCCAGAAAGCAGAGCTCAGTTCCTCCTGCCAGGGCTGCTCTGCACTCTGCCAGAGGTAGACAGCTCTGCTCTGCAGATGCAGGCTTATATGGCTCAGGAAGGCCTCGTGCACGAAAGCCCGGAGAGGATGCCCTGGAATACTGAGGGATCAAAAAGGCAAAGCTCTCACTTGCTGACTTCAAGGCAGAAGTCTCCTCGGATGGTGCCAGGCCTGGAATCAGCTGGGTTAGTCTCCCCAATCATCGTGCGAACGGTCTTGACCACGTCCAGGCCCTGCCAGACCTATGTGACACCAAAGCAAGAATCAGCTTCAACTGCTCCCCCAGGAGATCATACCATCAGTCCTCTACATTGCCCATCAGAGCCACCTGAGTGAGAGACAGGGAAGGGTCCCTGCAAAATCTTCAAAAGTTGATTTTGGAATATCATCAGAATTTTCTGTGGATTTATCACAGAATCCCAGACGGGTTTTCACTGAAGGGACCTTAAAGCTCATCCAGTTCC